CCCCCCCCACAACCCCAAGGATGTAGTTCATCTTAGTTATAGTAAGAAGAATATTGTTGAATGAGCTTCACAACAATACTAGAGGAGAATGGTTCTAAAGTAGAGGCTAGCGGTTCAAATCATGTTTTAGCCTACCATTTTTTCTATCTCTTTTTATTAGTAAAGGGAAGAACCTTTTAATAGCCGCAAGCAAGCTGTATAACTTTCTTCTTTTTTCAAATATGAGGCTGATGGGCGCCTGCTGAGATTCATTCCTTGTATCATGTAGGAGTGGATAAGGCTTACAGCAAGATTCGGGTTTCAAATTTAACCTTGTTATGGATTCTAAAAGGATTCTTACATGGAGAATATTACTTGGATAAGCTTGTTGGAAGAGAACGTTGGATAGCTGCTTAAAAGTATAGTAAGGTCAAGACATGCCATATTGATGACTTGTTGCTTGATTTCTGTGAGGAGAAAGCCAAGGAGGAGAATTTGATACCCTGTAAGGGGTAATGAAAGACCTCTATACTGTTTATTCCTTCTATTGAATTATCTAGAGTAACACTTGACAACTTCTCTGAAGCTGCTGAAGTCGAGTTTAAATAGATACTGCACTTGACGACAACTCCTCTAACAACGGTACATTCTCACTTTTTCTCTTGAAAATTCAGCTTCAAGATTTTTAGGGTGCTGGATTTGGGATTTACTCTGGTTGATCTTTTCCCTATGATGTATCTTGTTGTTCAAATTGTTCAGGAATGCAGCTTATCATTCCTAATCCTAGCCAATCAGATGTTAGCCGGAGCAGTTTATAGACCATGTTTTTTGATGGTGTATATTTGTAAGATCATCATTTAATTTAGTATCATTAAATTTAAAGGTTGCTGTATCATGTGGTTCTTTTGATGTTCTGAGAAGTATTTGTGGATCATTGTACATTATCATTGCTTTTAAAGGTAGCTATATCATGTGGTTATTTGGTGTTTTAAGAAGTAATTAAGATTGCTTATTGTATTCTACTCTTAGTGTGTTCTACCTATGTGCTATTTACGGACTCTTCATGACAAGTGATAAATGTAGATTTAGTGAATAAAAGGCAATAAATTGTTATAATTTAGTTCACACTGGCAAAAGTATGAGATTCACTCGACTTTATTGTTCGTAATCAATCAGTATTAGTAGTAGCAATCAGCAAGAATTGATAAGTACGCTTATTTCTGAACAGTAGCTAAGATTTGAATCTGTGAAAGTAGGTTGGATATGCTAAAATCATATTCTTGCATACCTTTATCAATGCTGCCCCTTGCCCTTTGGATGCACTCAGCTTCTCAAATATTGCAAATAAAACTGGTCAACCTAGCTTCTAGCTGTACTGCTGTAGTCAATGCTGAAGTTCGCTAACAAGCTAGTAGCTGGAGAGCTTGTTGGTTTTGGAATTCATCTTATTTTTTCTTGAAAGGTTCCATCGTCAAAAGGCCGTAATTTTAACCTTGTGGAAAAGCTTGCACTAAACTGAATTGCCAGAGATGAGAACTGGGATATGTGTACTTTTCTTGATTCTGATAAATCATGTTTATGGTGACAGCGAAGGTTCTCCCTTGCTCTTTCTATTGTTTCCAACTAGTTTTTTCCCAGCATTACATTTGTACATATTGAAGTATTCGTCATGTGCTTCACTCTATATTCTTAGATACATAGATATTTAAATGAAATTGTCTTCAAATCTTTTTTTTTTTTGTTTTGGAAGTTTTGAGCTGCAGTTATGAAGCGAAGGAATTTCCAAATTTTTTTGATGCTGCTACGGCAAATGCTCCTGTTTTGATTGTCTTTAATGCACATTTGTTACAGGTAGTCTAAATCTTTCTGAGATTATAGCACAGAAGCCGATTTGAAAATCGCAGCTGGTTCCGGGCGCAGCTGAGACAAATTTGGAAGACACAAGAAGTTTTTCACTGCTGAAAGAACTGTTGCTGCAAATAGACGCCAGCGTGAGCTTTTAGCTATAGCAGAGCTTATTGGTTATCTCGTATTGCTCTCCGTTTGGTACGCGGGATAAGGTGGGATAAAGTGTGGTACTAAATTTATACTATGTTTGGTTGACGGTATAAATTAAATTTATTCCGGGATAAATTTATACCGTCAACCAAACATAATATAAACTTTGTCCCCAGCTTAATCCTGGATATCCCATCTTATCCCACTTTATCCCATCAAACTTGGTATTATTTTATCCCACCTTTCCGTTGGGATAAATTATTCTAGGGATTATAATCCCTTGACTATAATCCTAGGATAATCTAGTCGCGTACCAAACGACCTCATAAGTTTCCAGCATTGAAAATAAGTGATGTTTATTTCCTTTTAGGAATATCGACCTAGCATTTCAAATTCCAATAAGGTTCAGGAGAGAGTAAATTCTATTCTAGCCAGTTATTATTCTCTAGGTAAGCTCCTTCTCATGTGCTTTGAAATGAAAGCTCCAACTGGAGATTATTCCAATTTCCAAAGATGGTCCTCTCCAATTTCCTAGTAACGGTACGGGGAAATGATAACGGGAGTAACTAGGACCTCTAACCTTCACTAATGGTTCATTCATTATAAGCCATAAGATGATATTATCTTGCTCTTTTCTTGTGGTGTTCTCACTGCTCCTACGTCTGATGAAGGTACCAGATTTCTCCTCTGTATGTTCATTCTTCAAAATAGCTGAGGCGTTTGGATCTGGAAGTGTCAGGCACCTGTTCTCACCTCAGTTTGTCATGCAATTTGTACCGATTATACCTATTTTCTTGTTTTGTGCTGAGATGTTGACAATCTATCTTCTTCTTTCTTGGTGGTGTTGAGGAACAAGGGAGGTAGGAGAGTTGAACTACTGGGACAGTGGATTGTTCAATTTTTCAACTGTCCGTTGCCAAATGTGTGATTCAATATGAATGATGTATTCTCTTTCAATCCATAGTAAAGGGAAAAAGATTTGTTAGAAGACATACAATCTTTTTTTTTTATTTTTAAATTCACTTGTGTTCCGAGCTTGATTTGAGCATATCTAATTCATTGGCAACTGTGTCAAGCTCTAACTAATCCACTTAATTGCATTACGCAGCACGTCTAAGTAAATGTCCTTGCAAACAATGAAAGAGAAGGATTTAGCAGAAAAGGAAGCTCTCTCCAGACAAATAAAAAGGCAAAAGAAAAGAAAGAGAGACAAAACGAATCTTATACGAGGGGAAATTCATATATTCTTAAGAGAGACAACGAATCTTAACCATTGTGGCCGGCACATTGTCACACCAGATTCTTGGTGTGGTATGAAGGGGATGCTGGAGCTCTCTAAGAAGACATTGCAGCCAGTAAACTCCAGATGTTGCTGATACTAAGGCACGGTACTTTGAATGTGTGCTAGACCGAGCAACTGTGTTTTGTTTCTTCGAACACCATAAGATGAGATTAGTGCCATGGAAGACGACATACGCTTAGGTACTTTTTCGGTCAATTTTGTCACCACCCCAATCCGCATCAAAAAAAGCAAAAAGAGTTGGAGAGCTTGAAGGTTTGAGAATAAGACCATGATCTATTGTCCCTTTTAAGTACCTGAGTATTCGTTTCACGGCTTGCCAATGGTTTATGGAGGGTGAGTGCATGAATTGAGTTGCCTTGTTGATTGCCATGGTAATGTCAGGTCGAGTGAGGGCTAAGTATTGAAGTGTTCCCTCCACTTGCCGAAATAATGTAGGATCTTCAAAGTTATTAGAAGAATCCTTGGATATGATTGTTTGTGGAGAAGATAGCGTGGACACAGGGGTAGCTTCATGCATATTCAAACGTCTCAAGAGATTTGAGATATACTTGGATTGGGAGAGTTTAAGACCATTCGGTCGGCAGGTCACTTCTATTCCAAGAAAATATGAGAGCGAACCCAAATCTTTAAGTGCAACAGCTGACCCAAGTTATTGAATGATTTTCCGGAGAAGGGTAACTGTGGATCCTGTCAAAATTAGATCATCAACATACACAAGGCAGTAACCAAATTTTTTTCCAGAGGAGTAGATAAAAAGGGAGCTGTCAGCCTTGGATCCTTCAAAACCAATATTTTCTAATGATGTTATAGACAAAAGTACCACTCCCGTGGGGCTTGTTTTAAACCGTACAATGACTTCTTTAATGAACACATATGATGCAGTTGGTGCGATCAAGGAAGCCTTGGGGATGTTCCATGTATACTGGTTCTTCAAGTGTCCCATGCAAGAATGCATTTGATACATCAAGCTGATGGATAGGCCAGTTGGAGTTTACTTCAATAAATAAAATAAGACGAACCATGGTTGGTTTGATGACGAGGCTAAAGGTTTCATCATAATTCACGCCTGGTCTTTGATGAAAACCTTTTACCACGAGTCTGGCCTTGTAACGATCAACCGATCCATCCGGTTTGGTCTTGATGCGATAAATCCACTTGCAACCGATCACATTTGTGGTTTGTGATCTTGGTACCAAATCCCATGTCCCGTTGGTCATTAAGGCATCTATTTCATTTAACTTTGCTTGACGCCAAATTCGGTGTTTTGCTGCCTCTTGATAAGTGGTTGGGGGTGGTGAGTGCGGCAGATGTAGTGTGATGAACTTTGGGTTTCAAGTGTCCAGTTTGGGACCTTGGAACCATGGGGTGTTCGTTTTGAGCATTTGTATTGTGGTTTGGATGTATTGTGGAGCCAATTGTGAGTGGAGAAGGTGGTTGGGGTGCACTTGGAGGTATTGGATTTATAATTATGTTGTTGGCAGGTGAACTAGTTGATTCTGCTGATGCTTGTGTTAGTCTTATTTGCGGAGGGGGGATATCATGGTGGGATAATGATGTGGTAGGCTATCCAAGAGAAAAAATAGCAATCGATGCTGGCAGTGGGCTGAGAATTGAAGATCTCCCATCACTTTCTTTAAGCGGGAACACCTGCTCATCAACTAAGACCTGGTGCGAGTAAATTTTTTTATTAGATAACGACAAGCATTTATAACCCTTATGGAGAACACTATAGCCAAGGAACACACATTTGATAGAACGATGTTCAAGTTTATTTTCGGTGTAAGGACGAAGCCATAGATAGCAACAATAACCAAAAACATAAAGAAAGTTATATTCTAGGTCACGTAAAAAATTAATTAGTAAGGTGATCTATGGTTGAGTTTTGGGGTAGGTAAATGGTTTATTGTGTAAACTACAGCGGCAAAGGCATGATCCCAATTTTTAGGTGGTACTGATAATGTTATAAGTAAGCTCGGCCTGTTTTAGTGATGTGGCAGTGTTTGTATTTAGCACATCCATTTTGTTCAGGTATGTGCGGGCAAGAGCTTCTCTGTACAATGGCATTTTCGGCTAAGTAGTGTTATAGTGCTGGGTATTCCCCTCCCCAATCTGATTGAAATTGTTTGATGAATTTTCCAAAAAAAAAGTTCAACTATAACCCGGAATTTAATGAAATGATTGAACACATCAAATTTGCGACGAAGAAAGCATATTCATGTGTACTTGGTATAGTGATCAAAGAAGAGTACATAATATAAGCAACGGCAAATGGCTAAATATACCCATGTACTACGAAAAATGGTTTAAATATACCCGTCGTTATACTTTGGGTCTAAATATACCCCTGTCGTAATACTATTGATTCATTTATATCCCTCTTCTGTTAAGTTTGTGCAAGATGGATATTCAATCCTACGTGACACTGATATTTGATGAGGTGAATGTCACATGGCATGCCACATCAACGCCCCTAATCCATATATAAAAGAATAAAATTTGAAATACAATATTTTTCATGGTAGCAGTAATAGTGGCAATAGTGGTGGAGGGGAAAAAATTTTTAGTGGTGGAAAGAATAGAAGAAAGGGGTAAAATGGGTTAGGGGTGCTGAGGTGGCAAGCCATGTGACATCTACCTCATCAAATGTTAGTGTCACGTAGGATTAAATGTCCATTTTGGACAAACTTAACGGAAAAGGGGTATATTTGAACCAATAATATAATGACAGGGATATATTTGGACTCCAAATATAACGATGAATACATTTAAATCTTTTCTGATAATACAAGGATATATTTGGCCCCTTTCCGTATAAACAACCATTGGCCCCTTTCCGTATAAACAACCATCAGAAGAGGGAATTATTTATTGGAAAAGGGTCAAAAATACCCATCTACTATTCGAAAATGTTCACGTATATCTTCCGTTATACTATTAGTTCACAAAAATCCCAGACGCCATAAAATTGGTGTAAAAATACCCCTTTACCGTTAAAACCTTCCACCATGGCAAAATTATTTCATGTGGACTCACATATCACTGAAGTAGATACCACGTGGCATGCCACCTCATCGCGCCTATCTCATTTTAGTCCCTATCCTACTTCTTCTTCCACCACCACCTCCCTCTTCACTCAATCACCACTAGGGGTGGCAAAATGGTTAAAAGAAAATAGTTAACCACCCATATTATCCACTAAAAAATGGGTTGGATAATGAACTTTTTAAAAACGGGTTAAATATGGATAAGAACCATATTATCCATTTAGTAAATGGATAACTAATGAGTAACCAATGAATAACCAATGAGTCTAACTTTTACATTTGTAAAGCCTCAAGTTAGGGGTTCCTCAAGTTAGGGAGACTAAAAATTCACCCAAAAGTGATCATATACAAGAAGTCATGGATAATATGGGTAACCCATATTATCCGCCGGTTAACCCGTTTTTTATCCGTATTAAATATGGGTCGGGTCGGATAATTGATTTGTTTTTTCATTACCCGTTTTGACCCGAACCATATCCGACCCGACCCGCCCGTTTGCCACTCCTAATCACCACCAACATTACCTCCTCCTTCGCCATACACCTATTCTTCCACCACCATCAAATTCCACTAGTCTTGGCCACCATTCTTTCACTAAAAATCAATCCAAAATTTTGATTTCTTGGTTTCATTTTCGGATTTGATTTCAGACAATGTGAAATAAACCCAGGACCGCTTGGCAACTAATTAAACTCAAAGAAGTGAAAGATACTTTCCAGCTGCCACAACAAAAAGGAAAATCTCATAATTCATGATTTACTGAAATGTTCCGAGCATAATGAAAGATTTTTATATGATGGTACATTTGGTTTCTAGTTCAATGCTATAGGCTTTTAGTGTGTAAAGATTTTCTTTATAGGCGGTCATTTCCCCTAGTATACTTTCTAAAAAGGGTAAAGAAAGCTGTTTCATTACTACCTTATGCCACCTCCTTCGCTTGCTTTATGCTAGAAGCAGTTTTAGATTCCCTTTTCCAACTACAAAGCTCAGCTTTATATCATAGGGAAAGCTATTTTTAATTATAATATACATCTTTGTAATTTAATTTTATAGTAACAGATTATATAGATTTTCATGTTTTCCCCTCCTTTACCAACTTGCACAATGCACTTAAATTTTGTCAAATCTATTTGGACACACTGTTCTTTGGTCCTCTATCTTTTGACAAAATAAATTCCTGTCCGCTAAAGCTGCTCCAACAAGCTTTGGCATTTTGGTAAATCCGAAAATGCAACCAAGAAATCAAATTTTTTCGATTGATAGGTGCGATCAACGATATGTCAGGTCACGTGGGATAATTTTGCTAGTAGAGGGTCCTAGCGGCAGAGGGGTATTTATGTACTAGTTTTATGACATCAAGGATTGTTGTGGACCAATAGTATAATAGAGGATATAAGTGAACATTTTCAAATAGTAAAGAGATATTTTTGACCCTTTTTCGATTATTTTTTTTTGGATATATGTAGCGTGTAACCTTTTAGTATTTGCATTTGCAAATTATCGAGATTTTATTAAAATTCTCACTGATAACGTAAAATTTTCATTAGTTTAATCCTTTTATTTTAAAAAGTTATTTTTAATTTTATAGTAAATATAATCTTTCATATTTTTGAAAAAGTAAATCTACACATCTTATCATGGAAAGTAAATTTAAATTTAAAACTTATTTATTTTTCACCCATTAAAGTTGTAGTCTGTTAATTTTTTCTATAATAAATTCTAGAATATAAGAATTTCCTGAATGTCATTAAATTCTACTCTTACTTCTGACCAGAAAAGAAGTTAGTAGAATGTCATTAAATGCCTAAGGCCATCTTCAACCTTACCCTCATTTTCCATAATGGGGGTAATTTTTGGGGTAATTTAGCTCCAACCCTCCCCCATTTTTGTCCCCAAAATGGGAGATGAATAGTGTTCCCTCAAATATGAGATACACTATTCATCTCCCTCATTACTATTCATCACTTTATTATTATTATTTTATTATTTAATCTTTTAATTTATCTCTTTATATATATACCTAATTATGTTTATGTAATGTCTTTATAATATTAATTTTACATCATAAATTTGGTGTATAATTTTGATAAAATTAATTTTCGTGCATTTATTATTTTTATGTAAAATTGTAAGTTAATTTTATTATAATTTATAATTGTACAAAAAATCTATAATTATCTCAAAAAATAAATGGTGCAAATATAAAATATTAGATATTGCTAAAATTGAAAGGTGCGAATATAAAATATTAGATGTTGCTAAAATTGAAAAGTCCAACTCCAACAGTAGAAATGACAGTAGATAAAAAACGACGATTTCAAGAATTTTTAGCTCGACATAGAAGAATTAATGACAAAGATGCTCATTTTGTACTTTGTAATGCATTAATAGATGATTTGGAGAATACTAGAGGTTGAAGTTGAATATATATGTAGTATTTCGGATGAATTTTATCGTTATGTAATATGTATTTAATTAATCTTGTATCACAATGATTTCACTTTTATTTGAATTATTAGTTAATCTATAATAATTGCTTATAAATTATATTATTTAAAATTTTATGGAATTTTTTTAATGAAAATTACAAATTAATAAAAATAAAAGATGAAATTTGTTTAATGAAAATTAAAAAATGAAATTGAAATGAAAGATAATAATATAATATAGAAGAAAGAGAAGAATATAAAAAAGTTTGGCGAAAAAAATGGAGGAATGGTTGAAGTAAGTTGTCCCCAAAATAAGGAAATCACCATTTTGGGGACCAAAAATGCGGTAAAGATTGGAGATGCCTTAAGGTACAAAATTTCTTTTAACACCTTCGGGATATCCTTTGTGCCAAAAATTTCTTTTAATTATGAATGATTTAAAAAAAAAATATTTTTGGAAAAGTCTAACTAATTTTGTTTAATTCTATTTAAAAGTACAAAAAATAAAATTATACACACTAAATAGTTTTAGAAAATATAAATAAAGTTAAAATAAAATAATAATAATATCAGATCTTGATGAAAGGGAAAAGGAAAAGAGACGTGAGAGTAGTAAATTTCTTATAAGGACATTTTTGCCCTAAAATTGTATGATTGACCCCTATTTATTTGTTGCAAAGGCTAGGTCAGCCGTCAGATCCAAATCTCATTTCCTTTGCAATATCTTCTCCTAAAAGCAGGAAAATGAATTGAAATATTTGTTGTTATATGTAATTCAAGAGAATTCACCAAAATTCCTCTTCCTGGCATACCAGCAGTTGCTAACATCTATGTTTTTGTTGTTCTATTTTGCACATGACATCTTCAAAACCCACTATGTTCTTACACTTCATCACTATAGTGTGTGTACAGAGAAATAGTGGGTATTGAAGATGTTATGCCTAAAATAGGGCAAAGGATGGTCACGTCTTAATGTTATATTAATATGATGGTCAGGTTTATATGAAGAAGAAAGAACGTTGTTGCAACAGATTCTATGTTTGTAAGAATTTAGCTATCATTTGAAAATGTGATTTATATTACTTTTAGATAACAAGATAAAGTTTTGTTGTTTACAAAGCTTGCGTTGTACAGGGTTTTGGGTCTGTGGCTTCTTCAAGTTCTCTTCGGATTTATATATCCATGATTTGTTTATTCGTAAGTAAGGCTTCCCAACATTAGATTACTCAAATAGCTACTAGTTATTTTAATACTACACAATGTTCGAGTTCCTTCAATTCAAATTCTTGAAACTAGAAAGTCCTATTATAGAATGGAGTATCTTGGACAATGTTTTTCCTTGCCTTGAACAACCTGCTTTGCATAGGTAATTCAATTGCTTGCATAGCTTTTCATCAGTATGATTAAGTTGAAAATCAAAGGCAAAGACCCCATTTCCAAAATGTTCACAACTCTTCTTGACTAGTATAATAAAAGGTAGCTACTACTGTCAGTCAGAAAGAACCAATTGGTGAATGTAAAGAACATTACTATGTTTACGTGAAAAACCTCCTTGCTCAACGGAGTATAAACCACGACCTACTCTCATATGATTTGCCTTCAAACGTCACTAACTTCAAAGAGCAATTTTATGTTAGAACTCGATAACTAAGGAGTCCTGCCCTTACAATCAACCCAATTGTAGTGACTTCTTTCCAAACTAACTATTGTCTAGAAAGCAAAACAAAAACTTCATTATTTTGGTGCTACCCTATGATTACACTTCTCAAAAGCAAACATGTTACAATTTAAAAACACTCAACCTAACAACTAAAGGACTGGCCTCTTCGTCTTCTAGAACAGATTCATTAGTTGAGCAGCTTGAATCCTTTGAGAGCACCTTCTTGCTGTAGTTGCTATTGCCAAGAGTGAATGCTTGATTTATGTGAATGGCATTAGTTTTAGCCTTTAGGCGCCAACTATATAGGTATCTTTATATAGGTATGAGGGTGGACAAAATCCTTCTCCAATCGATGCTCCAAAACCTAGAATATTTCGTTCAAGGAAAACCTTCTCCAAATTTGATTTGGTTTCCTTATTTGCTTCCACCTCCTCAACCTTATAGATTCCTCCAACTCAAATTTTTTCTTATCGCGCACGAACTGGTTTCCTTCTGGAATCCAACTTGCACACACATTCAATCTTCACGCGTCTGATCAAGGAAACCAACTTGCACACACATTCAATCTTCACGCGTCTGATCAGCCTTGAACATCATTTAGCTACGAACCTGGTTCTCTTGTTATTTGCTTATTATATCTGTTCACCAGTTTAGTAGCATAATATCCTGTCCACGAAACTCTTTTGGCACAGTTGATTCTAGTTTGTCAATCATCAAAACACATTCATACTCGAATATGCTCAGCTCAACAAATCCATAATACATACACAAGTTGAAAGCTATATATCAATTAAGATTCACGACAAACTGAGATTATTATCTATCACTGTTGCAACTTGGAAGTTAGTTAAATTAGAATCATTGTGTCAATAATCAAATCAAGGACAATAAAACAACTGAAAAAAATAAACAAAGGAAAGGTGTCAAACACTCCCAAATGAATGAGTAGAACCATCAAGCAAATATATAGCTTTGGTGCAGCAACACCCTTTGCCCTTTGGCCTTGATTGTTCTTCCCTTGGTATACTACTATTTGGTATATTTTGATGGACTTTCTCTAAATTTGTTTCCTTTCTAAAATCTCCAAAGGCTGGTCTCTCCCAAAAACTTTCTGATCAAAGTGTTTTCATTTACAATTTAAATCGTTCAAGGATCCATTTTCCATAATGAATTTATGATTTTCTCATTGTGTTCCATTCGGATTTTCACCACTGCAATGATCAAAATAAGATCATCCCATTGATATGAAAAGTTGAGGAAAATTTGTGTCTGTTGGAAATCAACATGTCTTTAATCAATGAGATTAGACAAACTTAACGAGAACAACAACAACAACAACAACAACCCAGTATAATCCCATACGTGGGGTCTGGGGAGGGTAATATGTACGCAGACCTTACCCCTACCCCGAAGGGTAGAGAGGCTATTTCCAGGAGACCCTCGGCTAAAAAAAACAACAGAAGCCNTCATACATGTCTTTAATCACCCTAATATAGTCAATCGGGACCCCTTTATCCTCTAAGCAGCTCCATAAGACCTCCCTAGGAACCTTATCGTACGCTTTCTCCAAATCAATAAACACCATGTGAAGATCCTTCTTCCTATCCCTGTACTGTACAATTTACAGTCAATAAAACAGAACAATTATTTGACTACCACGATCTAAAGAAGAATTTGCTGGTGAAGAAGAGTCCCTCTAGAGTGAATAGGCAGATTTCTCATCAAGGAGACTTTCTGATTCGAAGACAGCAAATTCAATACTTTCTTTGCATCTCTTACTTTCTGGGACAATTGGGCAGTCAATGATTTCCGAACCACATTTATCAACACACACATAAACCTCAAAAAGCTGGCGATTCCCAAATAAATCAATATTGCATTCTACACCAACAGTATGTCCAATGCCTTTTTCTATTGCTTCTTTCATTGCTTCATAGCTGTAAAATCCTCCATCTGGTTTAATACCTGAAAATATTTTACTTCTATTAGAAAACCAAGCTAAAGAGCACCATCCTAGCTGTGACACTGAATTAGATGTTACTGGATAAGTCATATACATTTGACATAATTTGGACGGATTCAGAATTTCAACAAGATGGATACACTATTACTAATGGCGTAAAAGAATAGATGCCAAATTACATGTAGTTCTGGGGTGGCCGAGCTAAGGTATGAAAGCAATTGGCGAATGGGAGTTGGGCAACAGAAATGAGAGAATAGTTATTTCTTTCCCCACATGAATTTAATTTTTAGTATATGCTAATAATTTTAAGAAATATTTCAAATACAAATAATTAATTTATAAAAGATAAATACTGACTTATGACAACCAGTAAACTACGTATATACTAATAGTGTAAAATTTATTTATCACTATGCAAAGTCCGTCACTACTAAGGCTGGCAACTGGGCGGGCTAAACAGACTAAACAGGTTGGGACCGTTTGGCCCCCGATTGGTGGGCTCGTGGGCCAGTTTTACCATTTAGGACCATTTGGACCGGGCCCGTTTGGCCCGCCATAGTACTGGACCGATCGGTCCCATGACGGGCCCAATGGAATTTAAAAAAAAAAAGAAGAGCCGTTGGCTTTTAAAAAAAAGAGTCGGTTGCTCTTCAAAAAATAGCCATTTAACCCCTAACTTTTTATTATTACACTTTTTTTCTATTTTCTACTAAAAATACCCCCTCATTTTTTTTTTACAAAATCAATATCAATCTATCAAAATCTCTCTCTAATTTTCTTCATTACATGCTACAATTGTTTACTTTATCAAAAACAAAAAAAAAAGTAAAAAATTTGTGAGTTTGCTTCTATTGCTTACTTTATTAAAAAAAATAGTCAAAAAACATTGAGGTTGTTAGAATTTGTGAAAAAATTGTGAAGTTGGTGAATTGGAGTCTTCTGTCTTCAATGATAATCAATTTTCAACAAGTTGTTCGTCAATTCGGTAAACTCGTTCCAACTCTTAAGTCTTAATATTATAGTTTTATTTGTTTTATTTAGTTTTTATTACTTGATTAATTAAGATGTCTTCCTTAAGAAATATTTTTGGGCACGAAAAAAGTAAGAATAAAAAAAAAATCTAAGAATGGCGAAACTAGTGGTACTACTGTTCCTCCTCCCCCGCCCCTGACTCCTCGATCCAAACCCCATAGCCGTCCTGCACCTGCTATTCTTGATACCGATAATAGTTTATTACATTACCGACACTGAATTTTGTCATAATATTGCACCCGTTGATTTTTTAGACCATGAATTACTGAATGCTCTCTACACTAATGATTATACTACTATTAATGAAAAAGATGATGAGGAAATTGATTTTGATGAAACTCAACCGGATGATGATATACACCCACTAGCCATGCTCCTGATGTTGATCCAACTAGTGATAACGCTGCTAATCCTAATGATGACCCAATTGATACTCCCGTTAATGCCCCTACTTTTTTTAGAAAACCTACTAAATGGACCGAAACATTTGTTGTTTGACCATTTTTTACTCAACTAGTTAAAAAAAGTAAGACTAAGTGTAAAACTTATGGTCTAGAGTTAGTTTTTAAATATGCACCACATTAATTTGTGGTTATGGGTTCACAAGCACAATTTTACCATTATTTATAAGAATTGGGTACATTAATATACAAGATTGGGCGCCGGTCAGGATGGTTTCACGTGAAACCAAACAATATCAGTAGATCTGCCTGAATTTCAACTTGTGATTGTCATTTAGTTACCGTTTTTACTAGGTTATTGATTAATATTTATCATAAATAATAATTATTTAATAAGTGACATGATTATCTAAATATTTTAATTCTATTAGTGCACATATCTTAAATTCGACGTCATTAATAATACATTTGTCAAAGGTATATTACCTGCATTATTGAGAAATTGAAGCAGGTTCACCTTTTCCTTCAAGGCAAGAGCAGCTTGGAAATAAGAATGCATATCTAGCATAGAAAGAGAACAAGTACCATGTTTCTTCCATTCATGAGACCAAAACCTTGTTCCATTGTTTGATGGACAAGATAGTGTCGGCCAATTCTTCTGCATACTACTTATCAAGTCCGAAATCTGTATTCATCAATGTACAAAATTAAAGCAAATTAGTTAAATTGCTAGTTGCTACCAGTAATTATTTTTTTTTCTTAAACTTACCTGCGTTTCATCATAACGGGCATTTTTGTTACAGCTTTTTGGAAATGAGCCATTGTTGTAATTTGGCCAGAGCCCATGAATACCAAAATCTTGTGCTGGTTTTCCATTTGTTGGGTAGCAACATTTTATCTTGCTGTCACATGATGCTGGATTCCACTGAGAATATAATATAGCCGTACATATTAATTAAACAAGAATTGATAATGATGAGGAACGCAATTTAGTGTGTTTGGTATGATAGAAGTCATTTTCCTGCAAAATACGTTTTGAAAAGAATTTTTTATTATAAAAGATATTTTCATGGTGTTTGGTTGGTTAGAGGAAAATATTTTTCAAAAAAGTAAATACATGTTAAAGATTCATAAGGGCATTAGCTAATCTGGAAGTGTTTTGATGAATTTTATAAGTACTAAAGATTAATAATAATGTCTAAGTGTTTGTTAATATGAAACTAAAGATTAAGATAGTTGTAAAGAAAATGATTTTTGCACAGAAGTTATTGACCCCCTTTTTTATGTGATCGAAAATTATTTTCTAGTAACCAAACACAAGAAAAATGACTTATTCATGAAACATACATGTGAAGCATTGATATGAAGTACAAAATGAAGTTCAGAAAAGCTTCACATGGAAATACTCTACTGGAGAAGTCTCGAGTGCAATTACATGGCATACCTGTTGAGCAAAGTAGAAGAAATCAAAATCCTGAGCATGTAATAACATGATACATTGAAAGATAACAAGCTTGACCAAAACAAGTTGGATGGACCTCATTTTTGCTTATTCTGTATTTGAGCTATGGAGCAGACTTTCAGAGAAGATGAAAACACAAAGCATTAAGGGGTTGTTCAATTTATATAGAGATAAACTTTTGCATTATTAGCTATTCTGTCATTTTGTTCCCTAGTTGGCAATATATATTGAATATTAGCAGCGTGGCCAATATATAAATTCAAACTTTATAAAACTTGAATTATCCAAGTATAAAAATAATCTTTTCTCTTTTAATTTAGTGGGATCCAAGTTATATATGGTAGCAGCATGCCATGTTTTTTATTTGTTTAGATGACTTAGAAAACGTGTGAATACTCTTCATATTTCTTGTGAATAAACAAATCAAAGAACTTCATGGTAGGCGACTTAATTAGTGAGATGCCATTCTTACTTTGTTCTTTAGATGATTTTGCTATTTGAATTTCATCTATAATAACTTAGTTTTGCAACGTGTAATTATTATCTCAATATTTTAGTGTTAAAATTTTGATATAAGAAACTATATGAAAATTAATATAAAATTATTTCTCATGTCAGTGTGTTAACCAAAATATATTTTAAAATCACATAGTTTGAATTTCGAGAAACGAAAAATTTCACATAAATTGGAACATGGAGAGTACTTGATTAGAAATCTATTTCATTCATTTGGTAAAAAGAAAATGATGCATAATCGATCTTGATCAAATCTTTCTTTGTAATGGCTTGTCGTGACTAAGATAATATTGTGATATTGTTGATTAATCCTTCAGAGTAGGTACTATCTTGTTTGTTTGAATTATCTGTTAAAATCCCACCACATGGTTTAGCCATGGACGTTGGAATCAAATCTTTTGGGAAACACTGATTATAACACATGGAACAATAACCCAAGTTCAAAGTTCTTTCACATGGCCAGATGAGCTTTTATGAGTCCGACACAAAAGAATAAAAACAGTCGGTGCATTATTCAAACAAAACTAATTTCTCATAGTTGAGCATGTTTGGTTCACAAGTCAAAGTAAAAAAGATGGATCATTGTCAGATACATCATCTATAAGATAATATTAAAGATTATCATACTTTGATTAAAAACAGAATTTAATCAAAATGACGCTTAAGTATTTCTGGAGGTCAGGTTGGGATGACTGTTGGGTCCAAACGCACACGCAAATATACACGGTCGACAAATAATAAAGTGATAAGAAAGTATCATTCCCATGAGGATTTATGATCAGCTATTGTCCAATCTAAACTATTTACAAATTTATTGCTTAAGTGGTTGTGAAGAAGGTGATTATGATTTTTATGACAAAAAATTACTAAACAAGCTAACAATTCAAAGGTGCAAAGCAAACAAACAAATACTTAGAAAGAATTCAATGAGATGAGAATATTTCGAGGTTATGGATTAATAGGTCTTCTATTGCGTTCTTCCGGTTGATTAATCACTTGATTTATCTAATTTGTTGATTAGAAGGGTTTATTTTGTTCGCGAATTTCTTTCGACGCTTCGCTCTCCTATTCAAGCCAGCCTAAGACTATATGTCTGTAGAATCAGATATAACAATAATGCATGTAAATTTCTTACAAAATAACCAAGTAAGGCAACTAGAATATGTCTATCCTAGTTGCAAATCTATTCTCCGATGCTCGGATTCAAGACTTACTCCACTCAATCTTATTTTCCATCAATAGTTCCACTTTCGAGTTCAACTTTAAATTCGTAAATAATACTCTATTGTTAGTTACGCAATAGAATAATTATGTGCAAGATTGAATAAACAAATTAATATGATAAGTCAAGCAAAACAATCAACCATCAAACTACAATAGTCAATAACGACCCATAACCCCAGAATAATGAGGTTCTTTGCCACTCATGTTCAAGACAATAATCAAAATATTATTTTTAAATATAAAAGCTATGGATACTAGATAAAACATGGAAGAATCGATGAATTCCGTACTCCGTTTGTGTTTCTTTGCCTTCTCTCGCCTCCAAAATTGACCAACTCCTCAATAATCATGTTT